CAAATTGATAATGAACCATCGCAGGTAGGAGAACCGCCAGAAGCCATTAACAACCCTCAGGTAGGAAAACAGGTAGGAGAGCTACCAAAATCCATCATCAACCCTCAGGTGGAAAAACAGGTAACAAATCCATACAACTTACGCAAGCGAAACCGTATAAAAACACCACAAGAAAATATATATATTGTTTTGTCCTTTTATGTATAATGACTATATCCTATACATTTTTTCGTTTCAAGGATATAAATAATTTGTATTAAGAAAAGAAAACACAATGACTTTCACCGGTTTTGGGAAAGCCTTTGAAAAGGTAGATCATGACACTCTATTACAAAAACTGAATGAATATGGATCAACGGAGCATCCTATTGAAAACATTCTCAACCAATTTCAACCACCTGACAGAGTGATCTAGATAGAGTCTGCGGAGTTCGAAGAGAAAATCTCGATATTTTATCCGTTTTTCCTCCTCTTTTCTGATGATATTCGTCTTCCCAGGAGCTGAAAACTCCACGACAAATATCGTTTTGCTCTGGTGGTCGAGAAGGACTACATCAGACTTATAAGCTTGTATGAGCCTGAGGGTGGGGAACGAATAGTTCCAATAAATTCGGCACTTTTCTTTCCCCACAACGGTTCAATATCCCCCGGAGCGCAGGGCAACACCGGTGTCTCGTCAATACCGTAAGAGTGCTGTGTTGGTAATATAGCACTCTTAGGGCCGCGTCATTACGATGGATATAGGCCGAGACCGCTGGACATGCTGACAGCAAGTGCATTAGGGTCGCGGACACCTCGCGGCAGGCTCTGCACTTTGTGTCAGGAACCTCTCTACCCATCACGCGACTGCGGTGACTAAGGTGTTGAAGACACCATCCTGGGAAGCCATGATGAACCCCTCAGTTTCCGACTTCAGCCCACTCGACCTGAGAAACGCGAACGTCCGGCGCTTTGATAAGCCAAGGTCTTCAATGTTATTGAAGAAGACCCCATGCATTGGCTTATCCTTGTGTTTCCGCAGAAGTAAAGTGATCTTTGCGGCTGCCCTATAGAGAAATGCTCCAATTCCTGCTTTCTCATGGTCACTGACCATGCAGAGAAGGGGATCCGAACTCCTGGCGATTTTACAGGCTGTATACAGTATCATTCTGTCATGTAGACACTCCAAACTCAGAAGTCCCTGGCCTCCCTGTTATCGGAGGAAGTACAAGCGTGGAACGGACAATTTGGGATGCAAATTCGTATAGATATGCATAATTTTTTGGGTCTTTGCGTCGAGTTGCTCCTCCCGAGTCCACTTCACTACTCCAAACGAGTAGAGTAAGATTGGAACGGCAAGCATATTTGTTGCAGCAACTTTGTTCTTCCACGACAGTTCCGATGACCAGATCTGTCGAAGTTTGTGCTGATACTTGCCGCGGAGAGAGTTTTTCACTGCTGTTACCTCTTGTGAGTCGCGTCATTCCATCCCGAGGTAAGTAAACCCCTCTCTGGCATTCAAATGGTGTAGGATGCTTCTATCTACGAGCTGCATATCCTTTTCGTAGTTCTCGCATCGTCTCTTAGCTCATGCACCCACTCAAAGCATCCGTTGTCATTGCCAGACCCCTCCGAGCGGATCGATTGCCAGGAACCACATTTTGTTTTACTGGATGGTTGACCATGTGGACCCACGGCCGGCACCGCCTTCGTTAATGTCTACCGCAGCAGTAGACGAAACGTCAGACATAAAATACCTGCAGACCACGGCTAAAAAATCCGGAACATAGCTTTCACACAAATGGGCCAGATTTCATCCTTTTGGGATCATGCGAAAAATCAGGTGGAATCTAGACCTGAAGAAAATGTTGGTGATTTGGAAAATCGGTAAAGAGAGCAACTGCGGAGATTAACCAAAAGCAGTAACATCGTGAGAGAAATAGTAGATAGAATCCACAAGGTCGGGACATGGATGGTCGATATTTCGTGCATTTGTGAGATTTAATGGAGGTGTCGAACATGTTATCTACTTCGATAGTGCTTATTGAATTGTTTTCTATTATCTATTGACTGTTTGTTTTACTAATTTATGTAATAGTTTGCTGTTTGTGATATCGAGCATCAGGAATTTTCGTAAAATTTGAGGTATTAATGAATATGACATCGTTTTACCTAATTTATTTGATCACGGACACATAGATAAATAGGTATATTCATTCCAATGTGAGTTTTGGTTTAAACTGAAATAAAGATTTTCAGGACTCATGCAGGACTCATGCAACTCATGTTTGGTGGAACATGCAAAGAAAAAAGAATAGTGATGAAATTGGCCGATACTTGATGAAAATCCATAACTAACGTAATCAAAAATCACTTTATTGTGAAATATTCAGTAAAGCGTTTTACAAAAACGCAACACGTGTTCCGCCATACAATGGCTTTTTCGGGCGTGTCTTTACTAACTATATTCTACACATTCAATTCTTAATACACCTTATTTTACAATTTGAAATACCTACATTCAAATTACTCGTGCTCATGTCCCAGTTTTCATATTTGGAAAAATATTTATTAACGGGGAGTTATTCAATTCCAATTGATCAACCAGTAAATCACCAGAATTTCTGAGTCTATTGATTTCTAAACATTCGAGAAAATTGAGTTTCAAACTCTTCTCTTCTAAATGTAACACGTCGTATTCATAATTTAACTCATTTTCTTCTGCTAAAAGATGGTTTGCAAATGTGAAATTGGCCTTTCTATTCACAAAACTACGTCTACACTCTTTAATTCTTTGGGAAAATGTTCTTCGTCTTAAGCCAATATACAGTTTAGGGCAAGAGCCACAAGTCAGCTTATATACTCCTGATCTATCCTTTATTTTTTTTTAATGAATTTACTTAGACTCGTTCATTCTGTAAACTACGTTTACTCATTCTTTCTTCAAAAAACGGGCAATATTATTTATTTATTTCATACACTATTACAGAATAGGGAGAAACAGTGGCATTTACAATTATCTACTTACATAATATAATTTGTAAAACTATTAAAAAAAATGAAAACAGAACTGTCAGTTAAGAAATGTCTTTTGATATCTATAACCTGGCAGTTGAATATATCTACGACACGACTAAGAGAATTAGAGGTATCGCACATTTGTTTGCGGAGTGTTGAGATGAAAGATGACACTATTCCTAGATGACCGTCTAGGAACCCAAAAATTCAACATATGTAACAATTGAGAGCAGGTAATGATATTGTTTATGTCCTTGAATAAAACAAGAAATTGATAATATTTACGCCTTACCTCGAGACTACAAAAATTGTGAGTTTCAAGCAATTCATTATAGGATTCGTGCCTTCAAGTTTGAAAGACATATATTTTAGGAAGCGCCTCTATAAGGCTTCTAGTTGATTTATATGTACCCGATAGTATGGAGTCCACACAACACATGCATATTGTAGCCTAGATTGAACAAAAGTGAAATAAAGTAATTTTAATGTTGAAGCTTATCTTTACCCATAAAATGTCTGAATTCCATAATTTTCAAACAGTTATAGTTCTTCTTCAAGATTTTCGGTTGGCAACATTGAGACTGGCTGTTAATTTTATTAGTTCGGACTTCCATTGTCTAATATGATATAAATTGATTTGAAATACCTGAAAGACTCTGTAAAAAAATTAAAAAAAATTAGCTGAAAAATGACAATTATATAAAGAAAAAAAAACTGAAATTACAATGAAATGAAATACAAGCAACAATCAAAAAATTTAACTATTAACACGAGCTGGAAATTAAAAATTATTAACAAGAAATAAAAATTAAAAGATTCCAAGCCAAGTCTATAGAAATATATG